TGTGTCGTTTTAGAGTTGCAGAGTTAGCAGTGACAGCAGAGGAAGCGAACAAAGCCATTCAATCGTTGTTGGCCACATTTCTAAATCTTGAATTACCATTAACAGCTGGCTTGTACAGTTGGGCATTTCTCTGATCATAAAAAGGATGATATAAGACAGAATACGCTGCATGATCAAAAAGAGAACTTAAAAAGATTCAAATGAAGACCTCATTTTAATATAAAACAACCCCTCTTCTACAGATCATAAGACAAAATCATTCATTTACTTCAATATAATCAGGCTCACAAGAGATAATCTTATGCAGCATCTTCACAGATCAGAAGACATAAATATCACCTTTTATTGACAGTGTTGACCTCTGATGCTTTGCTGACTTTAACCACCTTGTGATTGAGTAGCATGAGGATCATTTAACCACTACAGAAATGACTGATTCAGTAAAAATCCTCATCTTCGTGAGTTATTTATAAGATATTGTGACTGGGCAACATGCAATATTGGGCAATTTTTTTACTGTGTCTTTGTCCACCGCGATACAAAAAAAAAAGCAAACCAAATGTTAACAAGACTGTATCAGTACTGAAGTGTTAGTGGTCTGATCTTTGTTTGGGTTCTTCTTCTTCCCAAGATAAATCCAGCCCTGAACAACAGACAGCATCCACAGAAAGCCCAGATTTCACATTCCCAAGCTGCAGATGAACCACAGCCAGCTGCTGACAGATATAAAAACCCCATCAGGATAAGCTGAATTTGGTATGCACTAAAAGTGGAATCACAGTCCTGGCTGACGGAGCATGAAATAAGGGATTTTTATGAGCTGAGACGTGGGAGCTATGATGTATCAACTTTGATGTCCAGTGCAATGGTCTCCATTACACAAACAAGACATTCAAACAGAGCACACCTCCCTCCGCAAACACAAAGCTCTGTGAAAATCCCGCTGTATTTACTGTACCAACTGCTAACCGACACGGAAAGTATGAGTAACTTCCTCACTGCGTCCCGGGCATCAGATGTTGGATAAATCCCTGCTCCAGGCCACTTTCCTCTGATGTGGCAGTGTGATGACACTTGTGTGTTGTGTCCTTCACTGCAAATCCACTCTGACTGGCAGAAGTACTGCTCACCTACGATACATCAGTGCCAAAAGGAGCAGAAACCTTCAGGAGGCTTTCACTGTCAGGCATAGACAGTGAATCCTGACCTCGAAATGTCAGCTGAAAAAGCGGATAATGATTTCATATAGGCTCCAATGGTGCATTTGATTCACCTCCAAACTCTAAATTTGGGTATTAGAATGTCCTAAGACCCAGTTTTAGGTGTGGGTAGGTATGTCATCATAAAAAGTAAGAAAACCACTAGTTGCTCATACTACAGCTAGTATTAGGAATACAGACCAATAACATTGTGTTTCTCAGGAATTTGAAAACTAGAGGAACATTACCCAGCACTGCTTTGCTGCTCGTGACTGCTTGGTTTTTGTAGGAATCATGTATTCTACTTTCTATCAAGAAAACTCAAATGACCTTTAGTTTGTTACCTTAAGCTCAAGCATATGTCATTCATGCAACAAAAAAATGATCTGAAGCACCAGCAAGTTTACCTTTAAAAGGCTAAAAAAATGGAAACGATCCCTAAAAATATGGAGTGGCAGAGTCAGCGTCCTGACTTAAATCCAATCGACTTTAAAAAGGCTGTTCGTAATCAGAAAATAAAACAGTGTGTCAAAATTTCCATTTTGATGCAAATCACTGACTGCCAGTTGTAACAAACATCTGACGGCTGTTGTTGCCCTCAACGGTGACAAACCAGGCCAAGGTTGTTTGGAATAGCCTTTTTTGTTAACAGATAAAATTAGAACTGCATTATTTTTGGCATTTACTCAGGTAAAGTTGGTGTGATAAAATGCTTTGATGGTCAGAAGTTATGAAGTTTGAAAACAACAACAAAAAAAAAAACTAAAATTAAATTCTTTTCTATGTCACTCCAAAGCTATACCATCACCAGGTTGTGATGGAGACAAATACTCTGGGGATGAGAGAAGAAACAAAGTAAAGCTCCTCTGTCAATCAATCCTGTGCACACGCTGCTCAAACCCTCCCCCTTTGTCTCTGCTGCACTACAGCTGGTTTCCCACAGCCATGAATGCCAGTTACCAAGACTACCGACAAAAGCAGTGGCTTCTCCACCATTAGCACATTGAGCAGCGTGTACATCAGCTTGATGGCCAGTACTGAGACCCATCTCCTGGCTCTGATTGGTTGTTCCTAACTGGGAGCACTGCATTTCTTCAGACGTTAGTAGGATCACAGGGAGAAGCAACAGCTGCTCAATTTTTCACATTAATCACAAAATGGTGACAGTTTTAACAAATATGTAAAAAGAAAGTAAAAAATGATTTACAAAAGTTATATATTGCAGCTTTGACGTTACTCTCCCACTATCAGACTAAAAATTTACCCTGGATGTTTTTCAAGCGATGACTACCTGCTGCATTGATATTGGCCATTGACCCATTTGGAGTAGAGCTTGGCAGCATCCTGAAATATTAAAGTGAAGAATTCGCATCAATCATCCGAGGCAAGAAAGCATTTAAAGCTTTCCATTTTTGACCAAAACCTCTGCTAGGCAAATATTGTTGAGCTTTTTTTTTTTTTTTTTTTTTTTTTACTCTGCACAAAAACGGGCATGAGCGAGTTCTAGTGCCGAACTGACAATTAATCAAAACCCGGCAACCTGCTGGGCCGAAGCTCTGGCCTCGTTTCCTAATGTGCAAATGAAGAAAAGAGAGGAGAGGGGCTGCAACTGCAGCCGTCAGAGTTGGTTCAGTTTAGATAACAACCTGCTTATCGTGGCTGCAGACGGCTTATTCCTTCGCCTTCCAGTTCTGAGATAACGCCTTCAATCAAATTCAAGTCACTTTCTCATATTCCCACGTTTCCTTTCCTACTTCCAGCATCAGGAATGTTTTTCCCAGTCCTAAAAAGTTTGATGATCTGGATGGCTTAATGTTGAGAGCATGTGGCTAATCTCACTGCTCTTCTAGTGTTATATAGGTCAAGCAGTTTAATTAAACAACTTTGCACTAGAAACAGCCAAAGATCAAGGATAAACACTTATTTTTCTTAGGTGTAAAAAATAAACAAAAACTTCTGAGTCTCTCAAATCAAGATAGATATAGATCCAGATAGCTAAACAGGAATTACAATGGGGAAAGAATATTCAATTAAAAAAGTTCCCAAAATTGACACACCTCAAGAAATAGGGGCTGAAGAAGAGAATGTCCCCATGAATGCAGAAAATAAAAGTACCTTTGTGCAGAAAAGTTTAATTTTCTGAGTTGAAAAACAAATATTTTCCATCGGAATTCTAACTGGGAAAATAGAAACGTGCCGAGTTGCTCTACATAGATATTAGCCATTGACCAACATCAATTGGTTTATGGGCAATTGGCACTGGTGTGTGAGAATCCAACATGGCTTTTCAGACACATAAAATGTGAAAGTTGCCAGTATAATTACTGCGTTCGTATCTTGTGTAAAAACAATTTGTGAACATAATACTTCTGTGCTTGTTAGCGCAAAATGTAGAGAAATGTGTATTTCTAAAATATGTAGAAGTGAGAGCTAAAACTATGAGCCAATTCCACTAGTTATCTGACTTGCAGGCAGAAAGCGCTCGACTCGAGTGTCACTGTTCGAGCTCCAACCTCCAAGATAAACTGAATTCAGACAAACAGGGTTTCAAACATATAAAAAACTGAACATTTTAAACAAAATGTAAAAATGTGTACGGTTTTCTATCATGCTATTGTCAACTACGGCAAACAAAGATAAAGGTAAAAAAACACATAGCCTTTAATCTTATTAAATATAACATAAGGATTATTCTGGTTTACAGGAGTGTCAATAAAAATACTGAGAATGGGCTACATTTTTAACCTTTAGGTCAATTAGTGAGCTTTATACTGATTGATAAAGTATAAAGATAAAAATCTTCCTCCAAGATTTTGAAGAATCTTGGAGGAAGTTAGGAGTCATGAAGCACCACACCAAATACAGTTTAAATATTTACATTTTTTAGAAAGAAAAAAAAAAGATAACAGAAAACTCCAACCTTAACCTTTAGCCACACATTCCTGTTACCTTAGGTTATTTCTTTTCTGCTGCGAGCCATTTTGCTTTGCAATCAGAAAATAATTAGTTTAACAGAAATGATCTGCTGTGTAGATATTGCAGTAAAAACAGTCACTGTCGCAGCATAAACCAGGAGTTAACGTGTTGGAGCAACAGCTTGTAATTGTTGCCTTCTCTTCTGAAACAAAAGCGCTCCATCCTCCAGCTTCACCCGTCCCTGCATGGATGCAGCTTGTTTTTTTTTTTTGTTTTTTTTAAACCAACTGATACATACCAAAAGATGTTTAATAAGCAAATGTTCTAGGTTGTCCGACTCAGCAGAGATTAGAAAACTGCAGAAGAGCGTGGCTGCTTTTGTCCCTTGGTAAAACTAAAAGCTGCTGCCGAGTGCAGTTCAGAGTCACTTTGAAATGGAAATCTCGGCGCTCGGGGCAGAGGAGGGATGTGAATGTGAGACTGATGATAGCATCTCCTCCTGTGAGGTGCCCTCATGCTTACAGTAAACCCAACTCAGCGCTTTCTCTCCCCTAGACTACTATAGTGGGCACACAGGTGCGCATTCAGACCTACTGCATGTTTAAACACACCAACGCACACAAAATGTGTCGGCTTGTTTGCACAAATACCAACGGAAGGACTGCATGAAAAACTATGTTTTCTCCGAGCGCAGGGAGAGTGGTCCCTGCGCTCTGTTAGCGTGCGTCCTGTAGGATGCCATTAATCAGAACTTGTCTTCCAGCGAAACACTCAGACATGACAGGAGATTAGCTCAGCTCTGTTGTATTCTGTTGTTTTACACGAGCAAACTGGCGCGCACACACTGAGAGACAAACGAGCAATTTTAAGACACAAGAATCCGACCTGACTCCGTCTCCTCCAGTCTCCCTGCTTGGTTTCCCATGTTGATCCACTCCCTGACTCCCACACACTACAGAGAGGCAGACTAATCCAAGAATCTGAGACTGCAGGGGGGGAGAGGCGTGTGTGTGTGTCAGTGTCCGGACCGTCGTCTCCTCTCACAATCACCTCCAGTTCGTCACATGTCGACAAAAGCCATAAAAGATGGAAAAATCCTCGTCTCCCTCTGGTCCTCACCGCTTTTCTCCTCGTCTCTCTAGGACTGTGTGTGTGTGTGTGTGTGTGTGTGTGTGTGGGCATGTGTGAGGAGGCAGGCAGCGTGTAGCGTCAGTTCGTGTGAGCGTGTATGAATGTGTGTGATTGTGTTTGTCCTCCAGAGTGGTGACAGTATGTCACTCCGGCATGCAGCAGCCTTGTGTGCGCTTCATTATTGCTGTGATGACTGGGTTCAGCTCAGAAGAGGAGTGGCTTTCTCACAAATGCATGCATGCACACACACACACCTCCTCCCACTGCCGTCAGCCAGTTTACTCTCACCAGGATGAGGTGAGCGGAGGTGACCCACCTCTCTGGATGTACAGGATGATAGAGAAAAAAAAAGCCAGGATTTGGATTTTTGCCAAGTGATCAGTGCAGTTCAGTAACTGACAGGGTTTCCACAGATTCCACCAACTCACATGCAAGACTTTTTAAGACCTTTCTGACCATTGTGAATGAAATTTAAGACCTGTACCAAGAAAAATGACCTATTTTGTGTTGCTTTCTACATCCTTAACCCCGTTAGTGTCAATCTTTGGTTGGCAATAGAAGGCAGTCAATGTCAAAGACAAAAGTCATCCAGCCAACAAGTGATAAATTGCAATTACTCTCCATGACGGATAGAAAAAAACCTCATATTAGCAGCTAGTTTCTGATAGCCTCAGCCACCTTGAGTCACAGATAAATTAAGATGTTTGGGTGCCACTCCAATTTTTGCCTGAACAAAAGTCCAGCAAGAAAAAAAAACATTAAGAACTGTGATTAACATCTTTAAGGCCAACTTACATTTAAGAAAATTTCAGGCTTTATTTTTAGATGAGATAATTATGACTTTTTGAGGATGCTTGGACATCCTCAATTGAGAAAACTTCAAAAACGGTTTTAATCAAAAACAGAAAAGCCAACTTTATTTCTACTACTGCTAAGTTCATTTAAAATTTTGACTATTGTACTAATGGCAATGTTACGTATATGTATTGTTATTTTGCTTTTGACACAGATGAATGAATCAAATTAAGAACCAACACTGCTGGTTTTCAAAAACCCAAATCTAACATGCAGAAACTCACTGGGTAATTAGCTATACCTTTTAAATTCAAGTTGCTCTTTAATAAAAGCAAATTTTCAAAAGTTATGCCACATAAATAAATAGTAATATTGGTAGAATGATAATGAAATAACTGGAAAACAGAAGTTGAAATAAAGATGTTCAGCTTCTGAAAAACAAATACTGACATGAAAGTAAATAAAATGCTCTCAAGAGGCTTAACAGCTATTCATTTATCTAATATTATTCACTTAAAATGCTCTAACTAAAAGAGCCTTTAAAAGTTCCAAAATCCAACCCTAAGTAGACCGGATATGAATCTCTCTCTATAACAAGAGCATGTTCTGGTTCCAGGTCTTTTCTTGTCTGATGCAGAAGCTGCTGCTGCTTTTCCATATTGTCCTCTCCTGTTGTGAGAAGCACATCCTCCTCAGCAAACAAACACGTCTATAATCCATCTAGGAATTCTCCTCACCACAGGATGTCCATCTCTTTGCAGACCTGGTAAGACCATTGCAGTCTCTGTCTTTCAGAGACTTCTGTGTGGCCACAACATTTTAAGTTTTCTGTGAAGGTTTTCTTTCCAAGTTTGTTCCAGATACATTTACAATCCACTCATTGGCCCCTTTTATATTTAACCACAAACATTTCTCATATTGTAGAGAAGATATGCTTCACCCAGATAAACATTTTACACACTAAGCTGCACACCAGGGGTTAATTAGGAGCAACTATAAACAGGATTATAGCGTAATAGTGAATTACACCGTTCAATTGTACACAAGCCAGAACAGGAGGCGTTATACAGGACGCATTGTGATGGAATCATTTCTGCGTCCGTCTGCAGTCCAAACATGTATGTCGTATTAGCCGCTGACTGAGTGTCTATTTATCAAGCCTGAGTGCTTGTGCAGGCTGAGGCCTCTCAGTGGATTGAGTCACAAGCGGCTAATTTATCTGACAGATATGAGCAACTCAGGGAACATCGCTGTCGTTCTTTCTGTGCCTCCCAAACAATGGCATACAAGTAAAACAGGGTAGAGCTGCAACCACCTTACTCCTGACTAATAATCAGAATGGAAATCATCAAGATTATTTTAATTTATCATGTGATTAATTGCTTATTGTGTCAAGCTTGACCTCCGTTTCCAATCGTACTTTTTCCTTCCACTCCATTTTCTACGCATGACTTGACATTTATACTTCAACAATACCTTGTGAAAATTATTATAGAAAATTTAATTTTCTGAGAATAAATTTTGGGTTTGAGCCTTAATCCTCAAACATTACAAACAATAAAGGGTTGGCATGTTCTGCTCTTTAATGAATGAACCTATTACCTTTTAAATTTCCACGATAGTCTAACATTTTGACATGTACCTTTTTCCTAGCCTGAATAGGATGTGCCGTATGGATCTTTATAAAAGATTTAAACGTACGTCAGTGAGCGTAATAGATCAGATCAGACGGAGAAATAAATGAGTGAAGGGCTTCTTTGTTCAGTTCACACAAACATCGATGATCAGAGCGAGAGGAAATCGATTGAACAACGGCGAAAGCAAGCACCCATCAATGAAGAACACATTTATCCAGTTTCGTGCGCCCCGCGGTCATACCAAAGAGACTTTTCATTTCTGCACCAGGAACGTTTCTTCTGTTCTGTTGCTTCTCTCTGCGTGCTCCGCAGGGACTCCTCCCTGAGTGAAAGACCCCCTGAATTATTGACGAAGTGCTTTAAATAAGTCATCGGTGCGGGGCTGGGTTTTAACTCTTTGTCTGGCAGGAGGGCAGAGTCGGTAAAGCGCCAGATGGAACTGGAGCAACACTCCATTAGCAAAAATAACAGTTTTGAACTCATTAGCAGAGCCTGCTGTGAGGGCAGGCGAGGGAGGGCTCAGGCTGTGTGCACGCATGGCGGCAGCCAAGGATCTTAAGATGGTGTTCACAACCTTTCAGCCCTAAAATGACAGCAACAACTCACAAAAATAGAGTAAAATGTTTTCTTTGAGCTAGATGATGACAGAGACTTGCGAAATTATTCATTTAAATTTTAAACACTTTAGCATCTTCTCATCAAAGAGGAATTTTACATTAAAGAAAACATGGAAAATTATATGAAATTGCCCTTAAACTTCAAAATTTAATTAAACTTGTGTTGGTTCATTAAAATCCCAAAATGATGCACTGAAGACAAAATGTGAAGATGTTCAGGGAGTATGAAGACTTTTGCCAACATCCAAATGAGACTTAATGAACATAACACTTGCTATATAGTGATTATACAAACACAAACCCACCTCTGCTTGGAGTACTTGATAACATTTTAGCTGGTTTGGAGTCTGGAACGTCACTCCAAACCAGCAGTGTTTCAAACCAACCCTGCAATATCACCAAAGAAACCTAAAAATAAATTCTGCTACTAAATCCAAAACTGTTGATCTGTGAAATTTTGAAATGCTTTGCATGCGAGATTTGATTGATGGTTGAAAGTTTCTCTGGAATGTATCGGATCTCATCAATCACCCCACTGTATATTCAAATCATGTCATTTCCCACTTAAGGACTTCTAGCAACCATAAATTCAGACTCCCATGTTTGGCATTTAAAACACGAGGCCCCATAATGGCCGTCAAACTTTGCACACATGGTTAACCGCTGCCACTCTTTCAGGTGCCACGTCGCATTTTTCACACTTCACTTTGCTTGCTTTTTCAGACTGACTTGACATATCCACTCACTGTCTGGCTTCATATGTCTGGATGCGCAGTGGCGATCGTTCATTGCCTTTCCCACACCAGGTGCAAAGCAGCGCAGTTTGCCTGAGGGATGCTACAAGGAAAATTTGTAAAATTTGTTTAAACCCGCCTTGTAGTTTTGTTCAGGATTGGAATAAGCTTAAGGGTGTTGTGTCAATTTGAGCAATGCAAAAAAAAAGTTCATTAATGGAGTGAATTTATCATTAATATATTAACCAATGTGATACAAGACACAGGGGGGTTTATAGCTGTAATTTTGGTAGACTACCAGCAATTTTCTGGAAATCTAGGTCAGTAAGAGGATGTCAACTTTAATTATTTAGCATGAATTGCACAAAGCAGGAATTTGTTCTGGTCCTCGGGTGTGAAAACCTGACCTGTTGTTAATTAGAGCACAATCCAGCGAAAGTTGATCGGGGTCTATTTTAGTGTAAAAGGAGCGAGAGCAGGAGTTGGCTGCGGTTTCCTGATTCCTCCACAGCCTTTTGTCATGCAGTGAAAAAAAAAATTCCTTAAAAGAACAAAAGGTCGAGCAGAAAAGCATCCTGGGAATCGGGCAGCATAAACAAAGATTTCCAACACGTTGAGGGTTCTTTGAAAAGATGCACCAACAACCTCCTAATCTCCAGCTTCCTTGATTTCACTAAATAGAAAATTAACCAGATTTAACCAGGTCTTCTACTAGTTTTAGCTCATCCAATAAAATGTTACGCCGACAATCAATGGATGTTAAATTTTTCTTAAAGGACTATTCATATTTAGGCTTGTAAAACACATGATTTTATGAATGTGTTTTCTATTGATTATTGGGACAATTAATCAAATAAAAATATTGACATTCTGCAGAATTTTCACTTGAAGGTGTAGAATGTGTAATATTATCTTACAGTTTTGGCTTAATTACTGCCCTTGGCATGTTGTTCTTTCAGAAAATACCCCGTTTCAGAATCTGTATACTGTTGCTAATGATTATTTGATTACTAAAGTAGATGACAATTATTTCAATAATCACAATTAATCATTTGAGCCCTAATCATGACACGGTTATTGCTCGTCATGATTAGGGCTCGATTAGGCTCCAGTATAGGCATGTAGGATAATGGATGGAATAAGCTGATTCAAGACGTCATTAAATCTCCAAGGAAACCACTAAAGTTGGTGCTAATGGATAAGTAAAAAGAAAGACAAACTATTGTACATAAATTCCAACTACTAAGTGTAAAAATAAAGTCTCCATCAATTGTCATTAAAACATTCTGTCACTTTTAAATTATAAAATGGCTCATTAATACTTTTCAGGCAAGAACTTCCTCAAAGGAGCCTCAATCCCACTAACAAACAAGCGCAAACAAGA